CAGAGACAAGCCGCGTGAACCATAAAAATGCTGCGAGTTGTGAAGCGCGTTCCATCCGTGAGCCGCATCACCAAGCGGAAAGTGAATGCGTCAAGCATAAACCAAGCTTTAGTGCTCAAACACAAGTTTAACATAATGCCATAAAATTAATCCTGATACAACGAGATGTGATATGATACTGTGTGTCAGAGACGACGATACACTGATTTGATGCAGGATAATACGATACAACATGATACAAAACAATGTGATTTTAAAAAGAGGTCGTTTAGAAATGTATCTTGTTTTAAGAAGTAAAATCGCTCTCCAATGCAGATTAGTCACCTTTCATGTTAGATATTTTTGTACCACTGTTTTTACTTCTGTACCACAGCAGCTGAGGCCGATTACAAATAATGCAAATTGCTTTTTGCAGAAGAAAATATTTTCTTTCATCTGTTCTCTAAGATAAATATGTGTTATTGAAAAGAAATATACAGATGACACAGGGATTGGTGAGGCGTTGTGCAGAAATGTCCAAACTGAATGCCCTTTAAGACATTATTCATCATGTTGGCTTTCACTTGATGCTCGTTTCCACTATCAGAGCCTCTGTGTGATTTTACCGGACCCTGTGGCATCTGCGTGTCTCTATTTTACAGTTGAAGACTAAAACAACCATTTTCCAAGCCATTTCAGGAACCAACGAAGTACCTGAGCTGGGGTGTGTACTCTAAAATGTCCCAGCAGAGTCGCTGGGTGGGACTTGTGGTTGACTCATTTTGGTTGTAAATCAGTAGGAAATAATATCAGTAGACATCACAAACAACCAGCATCTGATAAATTGAACGAGTTGCTCTTAAAGTAGAATGGAAGAAGAAACCTTGAGCAGTGTTGACACAGTTTTGAAGTCACGCCAATAACGTGGCAATAATCCCTCCAAAGCTGTAATGTTGTCCACTATGTGATCTGCTACAGAACGCCGTGAAACAATGCTTCTCCTGGTCATTGAACACAGCTTTTTACGTCACACAGCTGCTCTCCCAACCCCTGAATGGATGAAATTATGTCGTGCTTTGACATAGTAAAACATTTTTAATTGTTATTGATGCCTGCGGGTGCCTTTTGGCACTTATCATTGGCCAAGGCATCCCACTTCCCCGTCCCAGATATTTCCTGGAACTTTTAAAGTGGAAACGCGCCTATAGGTTCCTCGCTTTTAGACTCTTAAAGCAAACTGTTTCAGATAATACTTCTTTAAAAGTTTTGGTTGGACTGATGAACCAACACATAAATAAAAGATCCAATCTCAATTCCAAACAACATCTACCAAAACAAAAAGCTCTCTTTACCACTATTGATGCTTAGCGACTAACATCATGAAAGCGTCACATTGCTGTGGAACCGTGACAAACTCAAACGTTGGCCCAACGCTAAAGTTACCAGATGAATGCTGAGATTGTCTTTCTGCGTGACTGTGGTGTGTGTACGTATTCCAGCACCAACACACAAATGGGAGTGCACGTATCTGAGAAGCTTGCTTCTTTGTTTGTGGGTGTGTGTGTTTGTCTGTCCATGTCAGTGCATGCTGTTCCTGCTGTTGCCCCTTGCTGTGTGTGTGTGTGTCATTATCCAGCGGGGGCTGCTCTAATGGAAGCTGTGATTAGCAATGCTGTTAATTAGACCACAGAGCCGACCGCGCAGACCTCTGCCACACACACACACACTGCAGATAAAACGCACAAGCAGAACGTGACACCCAGAAACAGGATGCCCGTATGGAGCTTCCTGAACCCTTCTGAGACATATGAAGCAAGAAGATGCGTTTTGATGTGAGTTATGAAACACAGTCATGTGTCACGGATCCCCCATCACCAAACACATGGTGCCATGGAAAATGCAGGAAAGACCAAGTTCATTTGAATCCAGATGTTTTGTCAAAATCTGGTTCTCCAACACAATATTTTGAAGAGACGACACAAATACCAGCCTTTCGATTAATATGGATCCAGAAACGATTGTTTTAAATCGTTTAATCGTTTGAATAAGCATACAGATGATGTTTCATCGGGTGGAAGTGTGTTTTTTCCACCTGTGTTTTGTTTGTTTGTTTTCTTTTGCCAGACAATAATAAATCACCAGGTGGTCAGTTTTCCATGAAACTTGAAGAAGCTTAACTGTTTAGTATGTCTGGTACTGATTAACTCTGCTGTGACCTTGGATGTGAACTTCAGATGTATTTAAAAACACAAACCCCCACCTTGACCTTGACAATTTTCTACAATAAGTCAGCAAATGTTCATCTTAAACTTAAAACCTGCTTGTTGACACGTTCATATGGATGTGAATAAAGTGTTCTTAAATCTAAGATGGGCCTTTTGTGGTGATGGCTACTTCCAGAGTGCTGCACCCTGACTTTGGAACGATCTTACGTAACACTGACAGTCTGGACTCTTTTACAAGCAACTCAAGACCCTTTTATTTAAAGCTGCTTTTACCTAAATCTTTTGTTTTCTCATTTTTAACTCAAATGTGTAATCATCTTTCATCTGTTTATGAAATTTTATAATTGTATAACTTTATTTTTCAGATGTGAATCTATTTCTGTTTTGAGACCATTATGATTTTATGACGCATGTTTTATTTTGTTTTGATCTGTGTGAAACACTTTGTGATTCTATGTCTGTGATTAGCGCTACATAAATAAAATGTACTTACTTACCTTTAAAAAGCGATTTTCTGACCGTGTTTATTTATCCAAAGATACATAAATATACAGTATACAAAAGTGATTCATCACCATGAGTATATGTTGGTAATTTTGTCTCAATATTTTGTACCCTTACGTATTTTTTTCCTTTATTTTGTATTTGTCAATTAAAGTGAAGCCACAACTCTTTATCAAGGACGTAGAAAAAGTGATTTTCACATTTACCTCTCACCTGAACTGGTCCTGTTTGTTGGTTTGGATTTCACTGTCCATTACGCAGTCGCTCGTCTTTTAACTTGTGCTAAAAGTCACGAGCATTTACCTTCAGACATGCTGATCTTTTTCTGGGTTGATGTTATCATTTTATTATTTTCCTTTTCCAGTTTCAAATGATCATGTTTTGTCATGTGTAAGTGAAAATCCACCAGACCCTTGTGGTCAACCCAACCAGACACTCTGAGGTGTTTCAACATCTAAATAAAACAAAAAAGGTGATTGAGACTTTCTGCAGCTAATTAGTTTGACAGAAAACACAGTCAGTGAACACTTTCTGCCTATTTCCATAAGAGTATTCAGTTAGACAACATCCCATGTTTCAATGGAGTCTAACTCTAATTCACCCTTTTGCTACAAGTACTGTTTGAATGTTAAACTTTTATTTTGAAAAACAACAAATAAGATGATCCAGGTTTAAAAGCTCAAACAGAAAAATCTTGTAACACGGTTCTAAAACAGAACAAGAACCTGATGATGTTCTTGTGAGAGAATTAGAGGTTGAAATGTCACGCTCGTTTCGTAACTGGTAGTTTATAAATATAACGGAAATATGTTTCTTTCATCAGCTTCTCCTTATCCGAGCTTTATCATCACATGCGTTTGTTTGCTGGATTAAAAGAATTCTCAGCTCTTTATTTATTTAAATTCTTATTCTAGATTTTACAAACCCGCCACATTTATGACCTTAAATGCAAAACTAAGGCAGGAATTTTCCTCCAAACTGTTGATAAAAGTGTTGATTTATGGGCTTGATTTTGTTTTTTAGATACAAACTCTTATTCTTGGGTTTACATCACGATTGAATGTGTGTGTGTGAGTGTTTGTTTGTGCGTAAGTGCGTGTGTTTGAAGTATTTTTAATTATCTGATAAGTAAGCAGGTGATCTCAAGCATATCACGGCTCGTCTGGGATTCACCTGGAACCCGCTGGAATGATTGGAAAAATTCATCAGCAGTGGGGAAAAGCACACATACAGTGTGTGTGTGTGTGTGTGTGTGTGTGTGTGTGTGTGTGTGTGTGTGTGTGTGTGTGTGTGTGTGTGTGTGTGTGTGTGTGTGTGTGTGTGTGTGTGTGTGTGTGTGTGTGTGTGTGTGTGTGGAGACCAAATGTGCAGGAGAGAGTGAAATAGCCCCTAGTGGCATTCTGTCACCCTGCTTTGCTCCAACATCTGGTCCTGTCTCATTTACCGCGGGAGATCGTCTGCGTGATGGCTTTTTAATGCCACTGACACATACACACTCCTAATCACACACACACACACAAATACCTGTGCAAACACACACACTAACACCACCCACCTCCATACACAAAAAAGTTCACTCCTCCATCTAAATGCAACATAGATCCTGTACCTTAGCAGACGTTATCGATAGAGCATACAGAAACTTGTTTATGTTTGTTTATTTAGCAGACGCTTTTATCCAAAGCAACTTACAATTTATAACCTATAGGGCATGTTGTGATCTGTGGGGGAAACCAGAGTACCCGGAAAGGCCGCAGCCGAGTTTCGAACCTGCAACCTTCGTGCTGCGAGGCAACAGTGCTAACCACTGCGCCACCGTGCAGCCGGAAAGTTGGAGAAAGTTGGCTGAGATGTTGGAGTGTTGAGGGCATTGTGGTAAAAATTGATGAAAACTCAAAACTCAAACTGTGATTGTGTGAAAACTTTCAACGATATCAACTAGCAAGTTCAGACACGCACGCCAAAGTTCTGTGCGTACATTTAAAACAACGTATAGTCTAGAGTTGTTCTGAACAAAAGCACTCCAACCAAGGCTGGATTTTCTCACCACTTGTGCTAAAATCCTGATATCCACCAAGAGATTTCTTGCAGTGTTTTGGGGTTTTGTCCACGTTTGATGACATACCACCAGCAGAAGTCTTAGCTTGTTTCTCTGGATTCAGCTATGCATTTTGATGTATAATGTGCATGTTTTATTCAGCTGTGGTGTGTGGAAATCAGACTAAACTAGACAGAATCTTGAACATTATTTATGAATTGGCACAAATGGCATTCTTTACAATATTTACAAACCTTCATCCCTCTTCCGCTTGCCTACGTCAGCAGCTGAGCTGATTCCCAGGATGCCGCTGATGGAGTAGGAGGAGCCAGCCGAGTCGCTGGTCACTGCTGAAACTTGTGTGGCAGCAACCGATGTCGCTGTAGAAGGATCACATGGTGGATTAACGAAAGTGTCAAATTAACCAAACAGTGTGGTCATGATCCTGTTCTAATACAACATTCTCAGTTAAGTTATTTATCTGGTTAAAATTATACCTGAGTCAAATTGCACTTGTGTGTTTTTTTTATAAAATAGAAGATTTTTAAAAGTGAATATTTATGTCAGAATAAAACTTAGATTAAATAAAGCTTAAATAACTTTGAAGAAGCAATAATTTAGTTCAACATTTAAAAAGCATTGTTTTTAAACGTGGAGCTTAGTGGAACAATTCAAACAGCATTTTAAAAAATCATGTAGAAAAATTCAGTTGTAAAAATGAAAAATTATTAGATGACTAAATAAAAAAACTGACTGTGTGCGTTACAGAGAGCTGTAACATGAAGGAGAAACCTGTTCAGCCCTCCTTCTAATCTCCCCCCAGGAGGAGACAAGTTCCTCGCAGAGCGACATGGTGACACACTTGTCCAGGCGTCATTCTCTCTCTCTCTCTCTCTCTCTCTCTCTCTCTCTCTCACACACACACACACACACACACACACACACACACACACTGAAACATACAGTTTGGTCTTTTATCGGTGAGAGGACGTCAGGCTGAGTGACAGCACGTTATCCCAGGAGGGACAGAAGAAGGTGTGGCAACAGACATCCTAATCCTCTCCCTCAGCAAACCCCCACCCCTCTCTTCCCCAGACACAGAACGACAAGGCCAAACAGGGAATAAGAAAAAAAGAAGACAAACTGAAGGATGAAAGTCCTTTCGAGCTGTTACTCTTTCACTAACGACAAGCTCAGTATAATGAATGCATATCCCCTTTTTTTCCCATCACTTGATTTAGCACTTCAATTATCTGATTTCCCTTTCTTTTTCTTTTCTCTCTTCTTTTATCACGACGTAACGCTCTTATTCTGCAAATCCAAATGTTCAATTTTCCACCTGAGAGTGGGAGCCATTTATCTGTGTAATCTGTGTGAGCGTGCACGCCCGTCTGTGTGTGTGCGTGAGTGCACATCTCACTGCATCGTTGTTGGTATCTACCAGACGTGTGTAAAAGGCAGGAGTCAGGAGGCTGTGTGTGTGTGTGTAAAATTAATTTAGATTAAAAGACAATGTGTGATCATGAAGATATAAGAGACACTGAGGCTCAATCCACTGCAGTGAGGAGTGGGGAAACAGAGAGAGGGGTTATTCATGGAGTAAAGGGAATAACGATTCCATCAGGGTTATAAAACGATTAATTTAGTTTACAAGGAACTTTCTTTTAAATACGAGTAGAAATATTAACTAAGATTTTGCCGTTTAAATTCCCTTCCCTTCTCTGATCTTTTCCTCAGTCTTGAAAAAGCAGCACTCAAAGGGTAGTGCACGGGCTATTTGCAGCTCCCAGAGTCCTTTGTTGCAGTCAGCTACTGAAATTCAACATTGGTTGAAGTTCAGGGCTAAATCTTCATTGATGCAAACGGAAACAAATGACAAAAACAGATCATGTAGAATACAAATCTACTTTTTAACCACATCTTTGCTTACATTAATGGATGAATGCAAATAAAATAAAATAAATGATGACCATATTTGGCTGAAGAATACATAAGATTTTAACCAAAGTCTGTTGCCTTTTTCATTCAAACACCTAAAATCTTTTCTTGGGTTTAGGGATCCTGGATTCAGTTCATGTCTCCAAGGGGACGTTTCTTGTTATTATGCATTAAAATGTATTTTCTTTTAAGTTCTGCTAAATGAAATTAAAACATGTTTTTGGTTGTGGTTGGGTCACAAATTGTCAGGAGATCTTGTAAACACCTCCGGTGTTGTTTCAAATGCATCCTTCACTCTTTCTGACATGCTGAACCAACAAATATCCATCTTTCGTGTTATTTAGTTAGGGTTAGGGTCTAGGTGCCGCGTTGTTAAATGTTCAGAGTGATGTAAGGGCAGGAATGAAGACTTCACAGCAGAAACCTACCGAGGTTGTGAGCAGACACCGAGCTCGTTTGGCCAGGCTGCTGCTGGACCTTGGTCCGAATGATCCTGCAGGAGGAGAAGAGATGTTAGTGTGTGAGAAATTCTGAGTGACAGAGAGAACATGACCACCGTGGGAGCAGTGTGTGAATGTGTGTACGTGTGTGTGTGAGCTTGCATGTGTGTGTGTGTGTGTGTGTGTGTGGTGGCTTGAAGAGGGGCCTTACACTTCCTGCTTGGCTGATCATGCAGGGCTTTCCTTCCCCTTTCATCCTTTCCTTCTCTTTTCCTCCACTCTGCCCTTCTCTCATTTCCTCTCTCCTGTTTTCTCTTCCTTCATTTCTTTTCTGTTCATTTCTTCCATTCTCACACACACCTTCATTTCTCTTTCTTTCCCTCTCTTCCCTCCCTCCTCTCTGCCTCTGTGCTCAGGAGAGGGGCTTGTCGTCGTACCATCGTGTAGAACCACTGAGCTGAAGCCACTTCATACATAAGGAGACTGTGGGCCTCTTTACAATTCTCTTTTCCCCTCACACACACACACACACACACACACACACACACACACACACACACACACACACACACACACACACACACACACACACACACACACACACACACACACACACCCTGCACTCTGTACCTGTTGCAACCATTGCCACCCAAACACCCTGATTACACAGACTGTGGTACCTGTTGATGGAGCTGACACTTGGGACGCTGTCGTTGTCACACACTCGCTCGGCCAGCAGCCTATCCCGGATCTCCCAGGCAAACATGGTGGGGTTTTGGCGTTTGTAATCAGCGATCTTGTCGACCACTTTGGGTGTAGCAACCTTTGGTTTGGATCCCCCGATCACCCCGGGGCGGATACTGCCTGTTTCATAGTACCTGTCATGATAAACACACAAGATGAATTGGATGATCTCCTCTATAAACGCACAGAGATGTTTCACAGGCACTTCCTGCTCCAGAGCTGAAGGGTTCTGGTCTGTGGTTGCTGGCATGAACTTGCCTGCCCAGAGTTTTCCAGCCTGTTTGTGTCTCTCTGGATTTCTTTGTTCCTGTTCTCTCCCTCCAACCTGAGGGCGCAGCAGTCTGGCTCTAACAGAGAGGAAGTTTTTCCTCTTTCATCAATGCCAAGTACTTGTTCAAATATAATTGTTGGGTTTCTCCCAAAAGAAAGTGCCTCAGGGTGGGTTATTTAGTTGGTGCTTGATACACTAGAGCTTAAAAACATACATTTAAAAATTCTAGGGACACAAGAAAACATTTTGTGACATTTCTTTGAATGATACTGAATCAATATTTAAAAAGAGTGAACCTAATCTTGTTTTTGTTGTATTTCCTTTGTGTGGTGCAATTCTAACTCCGACTGGTGAGTGGCAGCCATTTTTATCACCTTCATTCTGGCAGAACAAGATCTTATGATCCGGCTCGAGTTTTCCGTTTATTTAGTCTTACAAACTCTACCATCTGGCCGTTGGTGTTGCAATATATCATATCGCCTCGTTGGGATTGTGATATATATATATTGTATTGCCAGAGTATTGACAAAACACCCCTAATGAATTCATTCATTTATTTGTTGATTGATTCAATAAAATTATGCCAAACAAAACAATTTGCTAACTGATACTGGAAACATTTTCCTCTGTGCTGGTTTTTTGTTTTAGTCTGAGTCACCACTTGGATTCATCAAAGGAAAACGTCTCATTGGAAAATACTTTACTGTATAGGTTTTAGCCAGCATCGAGTTCTTTAACACCAACCACACTATTTGGTATTCACTGTCGAAAGCTGTTGTCGTGAGGCAACTACACTTCCTGACCAATAAAAAGTTATGACCAATAAAAAAGGTCACACACTCTAATATGTATTTGGACCACCGTTGGCTTTGATCACGGCACACATTCGCTGTGGCGTAGTTTTGATAAACTTCTGCAATATAACAAGATTTACTTCCATCCAGTGTTGTATTAAAGTTTCACCAAGATCTTGCATTGATGATGGTTGAGTCTGACCGCTGCACAAAGCCTTCTCCAGCACATCCTAAAGATTATCAATGGGGTTAAGGTCTGGGCTCTGTCGTGGCCAATCCATGTGTGAAAATGACGTCTCATGCTCCCTGAACGACTCTTTCACTAACTGAGCCCGATGAATCCTGGCATTGTCCTCTTGGAATATGCACGTGTCATCAGGGAAGATGGAATAACCTGGTCATTCAGTATATTCAGGAAGTCAGCTGAACTTGTATTGCTGAACCTAGACCTGACCAACTGCAGCAAGCCCAGATCATAATACTGCCCCCACAGGCTTGTACAGTAGGCACTAGGCATGATGGGTCCAGCTTACCCTGATGCACCATCACTCTGGAACAGGGTCCACCTGGACTCATCAGACCACATGACCTTCTTCCATTACTCCATAGTCCAATCTATGCTTCCTAGCAAATTGAGGCATTTTATCTCGTTTACCTCGCTGATGGTGGTTTTCTTAAAGCAACACAGCTGGTCAGTCCCAATGCCTTGGGCTCCCTTCACACTGTTTGTGTGGAAATGCTCTTAGTTTCACTATTAAACATGGCCCTGGGTTCTGCTGTTTATCTTCTATTTGATTTCACCAAACGTTTAAGTGAGCGCCAATCACGATCATTCAGGATGTTTTCTAGCTGTACTTTTTCGTCAAAGACGATGGGTCCCCACTATCCGTCCAGTTTTTAAGAATGTGTTGGACAGTTCTTAACCCAATTTTAGTCATTTTTACAATCTTCTTAGATGTTTTCTCTGCTTGATGCATGCCAATGATCTGACCCTTCTCAAACAGACTTACGTCTTTTCCACGACCACCAGATGTGTCTTTCCACATGAATATTTAAGAAATGAGAAG